GGCTTATGCATTAATTTGGAATAAATTTGTGGGCTTACCATTGAGTTTTGCATAAAAATATTTAAGCCTTTTTCATATCCACCGACTTAGTAATTTTTCGGCTAAAACCAACATTTAGCTCCTCATCTTATAAAATTGGTAGGTTTTAATCCCTAATTTTATATAATATGACACTTTTAACCCTTTACTTTACAAAGTTGGTAGGTTTTAATCCTTCACCTTAGAAAGTTGGTAGGTTTTAGTCCCTCACCTTATATTATGACACTTTTAACCCATTATCTGCACGAATTGAAAAAAATATCCCTTATTTAACATCAAATTTTAACGTTCTATTGGTTCTGTTAGTTGACTATTAATTTTGTTAGTTGACTGTCAGTTTTATTAGTTAACTGTTAGTTTTGTTAGTTGACTGTTAGCATCCGTTAGCATTCTGTTAATGAAATTAACGAATAAAATTGAATTTAAATTTCATATTTTTTATAACGGAATATTAACAGATGTTAACAGTCAACTAACAGAACGTTATAATCTGATATTAGGTGAGGGTTATTTTCTTTAATTTGTATCGGTGATGGGTTAAAAATATCATAATATAAGGTAAAGAATTAAACCTACCAACTTTGTAAGGTGATGGGTTAAAACTTACTAATTTTGTAAGATAAAGTGTTAAAACTGTCATATTATAAAGTGAGGAGTTAAAACCTACCAATTTTATAAAGTGATGGGCTAAATGTTGATTTCTGCCTAATTTTTCTTTATTGTAAATAAAATGTTTTGGATTCAGTTATATGATATATAATTGATATAAATTAAGAAATAATGGATACTCCTTCTATTTAATTTTAATTATTTTAATTTTTAATCTAAGATATTTAAATTTAATTATTTAATTTTTTATAACGTTATTTAATGTGTTTATTTTTATTTTCAAAGGATAATTATAATATATTAAATAAGAATGCTTTCCTTTTTATGAAAAATAAGAAGGCTAGTTTAAATACATTAATTAGAGATAATATAAAATTTTGTTAATTGCCATTACATCCCTATTTTATTAAATAGAAAAACGAAGCCGATGTAAAGTTTAACAAAGGGAGTAATTTTCTTTCCGTTACACGTCTTTTCTGACTTTATATAGGGTTTGTTTGGTTTACAATTTTCTCAAAAAAGAATTTGGAGAAGCCACTCAACAAAATAGCTTGTCTTGGCTTAAGACATGAAAATCGAGATATAATGTAATTGATTATAATAGTTCAGTAATTGATTATATGCAACTTTCCTTATAAGCTTGCTCTTTTCTTTTTTTTAGACTTTTTACCTAGAAAGTGAGGGAAAAGTGATATAATTGGTTATAATGGAAAAATAAGTAAGATATCATATATATTTATAATTACTTATTTACTCTTTATAATCAATTATATGCCCAATGTAACCAATTATCAAACTATTATAATTAATTATATTACATTTTGATTTTTGTGCCAAGAAATTTAATTTCCTAAACTAAGTCAAGCCATGCTAAGTTATTTTGTTATGCAGCTTCGTAAGATTCTTTTTTTAACGAAATTACAGACCAAAGAGGCCCTAACAAAAACAACTTAAATAAATAAATGTATATTTATTGTATTGTAGTAGTTAAGTGGTAGTAATCTATTGTAGTATAAGTTAACAAAAACAACTTAAATAAATAAATAAATATATATTTGAAAATTATTATATACAGTGTAATTTATAGTAAAAAATACAAATTCAGGTCTTTTCTGGCCTTTTTTTTTGGTTGAAAAGAGAAGAGAGTATATTAGACAATAGAAATAGTCTTGGGAATCTGGTTCCCAATTACATCTGCATACATAATAGAATACATATATAGCAGTAGGGCAATGATCCAAAAGAGTAACAAAAGGAGTCGAAGTAGTCCCCATCTTCACTAGAGAGTCAGCCAGCATATTAGCCTCACGATAGATATGAGATAACCGAGCTTCAGGGAGCTGGTGAAGGAGAGCCCTGCAATCATCAACAAGGACAGCAAGAGGGTGATGAATATTATGTCCAGTAGTAATCAACAAATAAACAACTTGTGAATCAGTCTCCACAAGGAACTTAGTAAAGCTTCGAGTGAGAGCAAAAGACAAACCCTCCCTAATAGCCCACAGCTCAGCTGCAAGGCTATTGGTGTAACCAATGTTCCTGGAGTAAACCAACCTACATAAACCTGAGTGGTCTCTAAAAATGCCCCCACCCTGGCTTGCCCGAGGTCTTCTCTCAGCTGACTTTATTGTATTATTGTTGTTAAGTGGTTGTAATCTACTATAGTGGGATAGTGATTGGTATATACTTTATGTTAACATATTATATCATACATTTATTAAAAAATTATTATTTTTTAATATAAAATTAAAGATAAATAAACATAAATATGTAACAATGCATATATGATGGATAAATTGATTGAAATTAACTATATATATTTATATTTTATTTTAATAACTAAACTATAATGAGTGTAAAAAAATGAATTTAATTGAGTATATGCCAATTATTTTTCATTGTATAGTATATAGTTAACAAAAATAACTTAAATAATTTTGTGGTGATTTTTTAAATAAATATAAGAAATTTTGAGTTCAAGTTATGGAGGTGTTTGTTTGGTTCTTTATAAATAATTATTAGTTATTGATTCTAAACTTCCAATTGAATGAATTAGATATTTGAATTATAAAATAACAACAAGTATCAATTATTAAATATCAATTATCAATTATATATAAACAACTAATACATCTAAACAACCCTATATTATATGGGTTGCATGTGACTTTACAACTTAAAATTAAAATATACATGTGTGTGGAAAAAGTGACCATATGTTTTAACTCTAAAAAATTAAGAGAAAAATCACTTCAAAACTATGTCATTGAAATAAATACTTGTTAAAAAATAACTAAAATACTTTATTTTTAAAATATAAATTAGATTGTTTTTATTTTTTTGGTAATATTTTATTTTTTTATGAATCATAGTATTTTATTGAAACTATATAATTTTAGATAAGATGTAAAAGTACTATATAAATATGGTAAAGTAGGTATCAACTTATATTATAAAAAATTTGGCTAAAAAATACTTTAAAATTATATTATTTTAATAAACTTCAATTAAAAAAGATTAAAATATCATAATTTTTAAAGCATGAATGAAGTTATTTTAGTTTTTTTCTCATAGTGTTTTATTAAAATAACATAGTTTCAGAGTATTTTTTGCAATATAGGCTAATATGGTAATACCCACTAATCTCATATAAATGTATACTCTAATTCTAATTTAACTCTTTGAATTTTTAAATATGAATTTTAAATGAAAATTTAATAATTTATATAAATAATAATAAAAAGATTTTTTATAAGAAGTTCTTATTGAGAATTTTTATTTAATTAATTTTTTAATTATTATTTATATAATATATTAATTTTTTATTAAAAAATTACAAAATCGAAATATAGAGAAAATATACAAATAAGGGTATCAATTTTATATTTTTTTGTAATTTAAAAATGTTAACTTTTTCAATTTTTAAATAGTAATGTCAACTTTTAATTTTTTTATTTAAGGAGATTAATTTGTTAATTTTTTCTATTTAAGAATAACAATTTTTAAAATTTTGCTATAAAAATTAATTTACTATGTTAGTATTACCATCCAATTAATGTTTAAATAAAAAATAAAAAATTGATATTTTTAAATAAAAAATTAAAATTAACACCTTTAAATAAAAAATAAAAAATTAATATTCTCATTTTAGACTATCAAACTTAACATCATTAAATAAAAAAATATATAATTAATATTCTTATTTATACATTTTCTTTCATAATACAATTATTAATTAAAAAGACAATGATAGAAAGGACGAGAAAAAGAAAACAATTCAAGGGACCAATGACATGGCAAGCGACATTATTAGTATATTAATTTTAAAAAATTTAAATCAAGTTATTTTTATCGGTTTATTTTCTATCTTCTTTCTATTTTTTTTCCTTTCAAAATCTCTTATCTTTCTCATCTCCCTTTTTTTGCTAAGCTCCTCCTCCAGTGGACTTTGCCGGACTCAAGGACCAAGTTTAACCCTATCCTGGCAATCGAAATCTCATAGCTATGGTTTTAAAATTAAAAAAAAAAGAAAAGAAAAAAAGAACAAAGAACAAGAAAAACTAAACCCTAAGTGTTTAATAAAATTAAACCCTAAATGGTAGAAACTCTAAATATATAGTTAGTTTTTACAGAGGAGATGAGTGAAATAAAGACAAAGAATGAAGATTTGAAAGAGAAAATTTAAATTTAAATGAACCCAAAACAAAGAAAAGATTGTAAAAACATAAATAAAATATATAAAAAAAATGAGACACATGTAAATTTTATTTTATTAATATACTGCTGATATGGTAGATCACCCTATATTCTTCTTGTAAAATCGTTCCCTTATTTGACTTTGTGATCATTAGTCTAATTAGTAATTAAAAACGATAGAGAATATTCTTAGTGGGTGCGATCAGAAAAGTCGTAGATGCAAACAATCCGTACAGATTTCTAACGGCCAGAAAATAAGAGACTTTTCTACTTAAATTTTTTTTT